AGCCAGAGGCTGCTTTATCCCCAGGGTGGGCACTGCAATGAGGATCCCCAGCCTGAAGCAGCCTCCAGAGCTGAGTCAGTCTACAGATGGTAACTGGGCACCTTAGGGGTCCCTCCTGGCGATGGAGTAAACAGAGGGCCTGGCCGCCGCCTCGCTGGGGCCTCCAGCTTGGGGTGTCTGCTGGTTGCAGGTGGAGTTCCAGCTCCAGCCCATGGACAGCACCTCAGGGACCTGCCACGCACCTAGCCCAGTGGCATAGATCAGAGGCAAGTGAGTCTTGTCTGAGGGCGCATCCTGGCATCAAAGGCTGTGACCTGGAAGGGGCTGCAGGGGATGTGGTTGCCCAGTGGCAGGACGGAGCTGAGGCAGATTTTGGGAACAGGAGAGAGTCACAGAGTCCCTTGGGCGTGACTGAAGGCAGATGCTACCAAAGATGAGCTTCGCCTCCAGGAGAGGTGGGGACCCAGGGGGGCAGCACTCAGCCAGGAGCAGGGGCGGTGAGCGCCTCATGGGGCTGGTGCCTCTGATGGCCTGTGGCAGCAGTCGTCTCTGCTGGCCCGGATGGCCGCCGGGAGGATTCTGCACGGGGTGCTTTGAAGGTTCCCCTCCCATTGTTCAGAGGAAGCCCCTGCACAGGACCAATGAGAACACAAGGCCCTGAGAGGGAATGTGAGGACGCAGCTGGGTCCACAGCCTGGAGCTTTTCAACCCACATTCTGTGTTTTTTCCTCATAACTGTCTCTCTCTCTCTCTCCATATATATATAACTTTTCTTTTTCTTTGAGACAGAGTCTGGCTCTGTCGCCCAGGCTGGAGTGCAGTGGCGCAATCTCGGTTCACTGCAACTTCCGCCTCCCAGGTTCAAGTGGTTCTCCTGCCTCAGCCTCCTGAGGAGCTAGGACTACAGGCCCATGCCACCATGCCCAACTAATTTTTGCATTTTTAGTAGAGACAGATTTTTACCATGTTGGCTTTGATCTCTTGACCTCGTGATTCGCCCGCCTTGGCCTCCCTGTATATAGAAACCTTCTTCACATGGTTTTAATGAAGTTAGCATAGGTTCTGTGTTTCCCTGGCTGCCAGGAGATCCTGGCAATGGTCTTCTGTGGGAGAGGATATGAGATAATGGTGGGCTGTGCACAGTCCTGGGATGAGCCAGCCTTTCGGGAAGGCCCTGATGGAAGCTTCCGGGTAGGGTTTCTCACCCCACACTGGGATCGCTTCTGTTGCTACTGCTCAGAGCAGAGTAGGCTATGCTTCTTAAGGGACTGCACCTGCTGGGCAAAAGTTCTTTTTTATTTTTTCCCCCAGCAGGGTGTCCCCCACCAACTACCCACCAAACAAGGACAGGATTCCCTTTTTAGAGCACAAAGGATCTCTGACAACATGGTGTGGCCTGTACCCGTTTGAGGCTGACGCCACCAGCCTGGTCCCCAGAGCAAACTCTGCTGGAATCTGGGCTGTTGTCCCCCTGCGGTGGTGTCAGAGACGCAGTGGCCCTGGGTCTCCACCAGCAAGGAAGGCTAACCCTCAGGACAGGTTGCGCCTGATCCTGCCTTTCCAAATCAGCATTGTCTTTCATTAAAATAACAGAGATACTGAATAAGCAGTAATCACCTATAGTCACTTACTTAGGAAGTGACTTAGGAAGTCACCTTAGGAAGTGGCTAGGATTTCAGGAGCGTCCCTCTTAGGCACAGGCTGGTGCTGCCTTGCTCTCTTATGAACTGCCTTTTCAGTGGAGCTCAGATCTGGTGGGAGAAAAAAAATAATAATGAGCTTTTGAATTGGACCAAGCCTGACTTTTGGCCCTGGCTCTGTCCAGCTCTTGCAGAGGGACTCTGTGAAATGGTGCATTTGAAACTGCCAGCACATGGCAGGGACTTGTAGTAATCAGGAGTCCTTTTCTAAGTGACTAAAATCCCAAATTCAAATAAGGAAGAGGAAAATTCATGGGCTAGAACAGCTTCAGGTATGGCTGGATCCAGGTGCTCCAACAATATGGTCAGGATCCAGTGTCTCTCTGTCTCTCACTGATCTCCTGTGTGTTCACACGGTGGAAGCTTCACACTTTTGTCTCACCAACCTTAAGACCACCTGAAAGCCAGCTGTGCTTTTCTAACAGGCTGATGAAGAGACTGGTGCCAATCACAGAACATGCCCAACGGAGGGCTCATATTCATGCAGGCAGCTGGCGGGAAGGTACAGCAGATACTTGCTGGGCCCACAGCCCCTTACCCCTGTGAGTTCAGGTGTGGCTGTGTGGGTAGGTCCCATCTTTCCTCCTGTCTTCTGACTCAGGGCTTTTTCCATAGCTAAGGGCAGGGTAAGCTGGGGAGATTCCACCCCCGGGACAGCCTCTGCCAATGGGGGAGGATAGTCTGCACCCATGAAGGGACAACTCAGAGGCAGATCCCACAGATTTTTCAGAGGGTTCCTGGTGGGTCTGAGCCCCTGTTGCCCACACTGATCACCAGCCCAGTGGCATCCTCGCATTGGCCACACTGATCACCAGCCCAGTGGCATCCTCGCATTGGCCACACTGATCACCAGCCCAGTGGCATCCTCGCATTGGCCACACTGATCACCAGCCCAGTGGCATCCTCGCATTGGCCACACTGATCACCAGCCCAGTGGCATCCTCGCATTGGCCACACTGATCACCAGCCATGTGGCATCCTCGCATTGGCCACACTGATCACCAGCCCTGTGGCATCCTCACATTGGCCACACTGATCACCAGCCGTGTGGCATCCTCGCATTGGCCACACTGATCACCAGCCCAGTGGCATCCTCGCATTGGCCACACTGATCACCAGCCCAGTGGCATCCTCGCATTGGCCACACTGATCACCAGCCCTGTGGCATCCTCGCATTGGCCACACTGATCACCAGCCCTGTGGCATCCTGGCATTGGCCACACTGATCACCAGCCCAGTGGCATCCTCGCATTGGCCACACTGATCACCAGCCCAGTGGCATCCTCGCATTGGCCACACTGATCACCAGCCCTGTGGCATCCTCGCATTGGCCACACTGATCACCAGCCCTGTGGCATCCTGGCATTGGCCACACTGATCACCAGCCCTGTGGCATCCTCGCATTGGCCACACTGATCACCAGCCCAGTGGCATCCTCTCATTGGCCACACTGATCACCAGCCCAGTGGCATCCTCGCATTGGCCACAATGATCACCAGCCCAGTGGCATCCTCGCATTGACCACACTGATCACCAGCCCAGTGGCATCCTCTCATTGGCCACACTGATCACCAGCCCAGTGGCATCCACATTGGCCACGATGATCACCAGCCCAGTGGCATTCTCACATTGACCACACTGATCACCAGCCCAGTGGCATCCTCGCATTGGCCACACTGATCACCAGCCCAGTGGCATTCTTGCATTGGCCACACTGATCACCAGCCCAGTGGCATCCTCGCATTGGCCACACTGATCACCAGCCATGTGGCATCCTCGCATTGGCCACACTGATCACCAGCCCAGTGGCATCCTCACATTGGCCACGATGATCACCAGCCCAGTGGCATTCTCACATTGGCCACACTGATCACCAGCCCAGTGGCATCCTCGCATTGGCCACACTGATCACCAGCCCAGTGGCATTCTTGCATTGGCCACACTGATCACCAGCCCAGTGGCATCCTCGCATTGGCCACACTGATCACCAGCCCAGTGGCATCCTCGCATTGGCCACACTGATCACCAGCCCAGTGGCATCCTCGCATTGGCCACACTGATCACCAGCCCAGTGGCATCCTCACATTGGCTTTCTCCCCACCCAGATCTCACTGCCCTGCCCCTCCAGTTTCCTGGAGTCACCTCCCACCTACACTACCTGCACCCAAGGCCTTGTCTCAGGCTCTGTTCTGGGGGAACCCCAAAAGGCAGAGAGGTCAACCTCACCTGAAGCAGGTGAACTGAGAGGTATTAGGGCCTTGGGGACACCTGAGTTTGGCCAGCCAGGCGTCTGACCTCCCTCGGCAGCAGGACTCCTGTCTCAACTGTTGTCTCATGAATCCTCCGTGTATAAAGAGTACAAGAAAGGGGTGGTCCAGGCTCACAAGCATTTACTGAGCACCTACTATGTGCCAGGTTTACTCCCTCCTCACATGGACCCTGTGGAGGAAGCATCATCACCCCATTCTACAGATGCAGGGACTGAGGCCTGAAATCATCAGGAAGGGTCTGAGGCCACACAGCTGGTAAATGGCAGAGTGGGGACTGGAGTCCAGGGCCTCTCACTCCAGGTGCAGGTTCCTGTCCTGGCCCCGCTGGCTGGTCTGAGGTGGCTGAGCTGGGCGCAGCTTGAAGCCTCCCCTGGTCCCCTCCAGTCAAGACTGGATTTTCTCTCCAGCTCCCAGCCACTGTCCTTCCTCCCCAGGCACCTTCCGTTGTTTTTTCCAGAGTCAGGCTTTCCTAACTCTCTCTCACACCCCTTCCTGTTTGGGCACCAACTTTCTCTGCCCCGAAGCCCTTGCTGGCATTGGTGCCTGTGCTAGGCTTGCTCAGTGGGAGGCGGGTTCACAGCCTCTCCCCTCCTTCCCTGCTCGCTGCCCACAGGACTGTCCAAGTAAAGGCTCCATCAACACCAGCCCTTCCCTCAACCCCGTCCCATGTCACCACTCAAAATGACAGCGCTAACCCTTTCTGCCCCGCTCAAATCCCAACCCTCACCTTCTGGGGCTGCCCCTGCCTGCCCAGATCACCTTCCTGCTGAGAAAATGGAAGCGTTAAACTCTCAATCCTCTTCAAAGATCATTAGCCAGAGCAAGCTACACATCAAATTGATTTTATTTCTCCAGGTTCTGGCTAACGCAGTGACTTCAGGCCACAGGCGGGGAGGGTGGGGTTAGTTTTTCGAGGCTCGCTGGTGCCTCTCTGCCCTTTCCTTCTGGCTGGCTCATGATTCTTGCAATGTGACAAGCTCGGTGCAGTCCCGGGGCCAGAACACAGGGCGAGCCTTGTGCTCCCAGGGGCAGGATGGGGGCGGAGGGATGGAGGAGGTGCTGAGCCCACAGCACTCTCCTTTCCCAGGCCCCTACCCAGAAGCTGTCCCGCCACTCGTAAAGCGCCTGGAAGATGGAAAGGATCTCTCTGTTATTATTGTAATATACCTTGTCCAGAATTCATGATGAAATACATTTTCTCCAGAACGTTTAATGGTGTGAAATCAAACTGTCTGTTGTCAGACCGTTCTCCATGCCTCCCCTAACCCCAGTATTTGTGCTGAAGATGGTGGGACCTCAATTCACCCTTCTGGAATGTTGCAGAGCCTGGCCGCAGCCTGAGCAGTGGCAGCTTTCCAGGAGCCTGAGGTCTGAATCTGCCTGGTACAGCATCCTGGAGGGCACATGCAGACACAGAAGTTCTGTGTGCCCTGTGAAACAGTGGGCCAGGTAAGCATTTTGTCCCATCTGTCATGTGCTCCCTCTGTGTGGCTGCCCTGGAGGTTGTGAGGAGGCCTGCGGGGAGGCCCTGGGCTTCTCCAAACCGCCTCTATAAATAGCCAGCTTCAGGAATTCACTGGGAGCCAGGCTGTTTTTATAGGCTTGTATCTTCGTTTTTCCAGTAATCCAGCTGAGTGCTTCTGGACCCGGGCCGCCACCAGGGAACTGACAACCCCACATCTGCCACAGGCAGAAAACTTGCAGGGGTCAGGGGAAGCTCTTTCTCTGCCATTTAAGAAGGAACAGTGGAGGCCGGGGCTGCCAGCCCGCTTGGCTCACAACTTTTGGACTGTCTGGCATTGTGGCCAGCACGTGACTGTGGTTATTTGGGGCAAGCAGGGGTGCCCAAGTCCAAACACATCTCCTCCCGGGCCTGTCCCTCGCTGACACATCTGGTAAGCATGAGATGGAGACAGAGAACACTGTGTAACAGGAACCAACGCTGGGCTGTCCCAGCATCCTTTATGGAGAAAACTCTTTCTCTGGGGTCTGAATGCTTCTGCTCTGAAATAACCAGTGTGAATTTCTTCTAAGCAGCCAGTGACCAGCCAACAGTTCGAGGTGGGCAAAGTCAACGAGGGGCTGGGTTTCATTTCTCATCAGTGGCATGAGGGGGGTACACCAGGGGGTCTCCAGTCCCACTTAGACTCCATTCCATAACCTCAACCAAGCTCCTGTGCATGCCAGGCACCTGGGGAGCCAAGGGAGTTGGTACCAGGAGTGGGGCCCATGGGGCCCTGTGAGTGGGTGGTCAGGGGTGGGGAGAGACCATGGAGGTCAAGGCGGGGTGCTCGCTCAGAGGACCAGATGGCAAAAAGTCCCAGCAAAGCTGGTCTCTGTCCCTGCTCAACACAGCTTGTCCTTGTGAAGGGAGAGGGAGGAAAGGGACAACCGGCTCCGGGGAGGAAGAGCCCTGAGGGAGGTGTGGATGGAGCACTCAGGAAGATGAGGAAGAGGAGGTTCGATTCAGCTTGAGCATAGGGACAGTGCACAGCACGGTCTGCATCAGAGAATATGTCTGGGCTCACACAGAGACTGAGGGACCTGCCACTTGGGGCCGGGTGGCCATGACTTGGTGCAAAAGCCTCCACCCCCCACAGCCTCCCTGCTCTGAACCCCTGGCCTTGTGCATCTCCTGCTCTCCTTCCTGAGCTAGCCTTGACCTCACGTCGCAGCTGCCGATCCCTGGCTTCTTTTATTCGGGAGAGACCTAGGGACTACCGCCACGATGCACGCTCACTCCCTGCTCAGACCTGACGGTGGATCCCGAGCCATGGACCCTGGCATTCTCCCCACAGGTCAGTTCACCTTCACCCCCTTTTGATGTTGCCACTTCCAGATGTTCCAGGGAGATGCCTCCTTGGTCTACTCCAGTCCCCGGGCACATCCTGAATGCAGACCTCAGGCAGCCACCCCAGACCCAGCGGAGGGGACACCAGCACGGGCAGTGCAAGTGGGCCTGCCATCAGGAAAGTGACCATCCCTGCTTGTCCCTCCAGGGCTAGAGTCATGACTGTATTTGGGTGTGATTCAGGTTCATGTAACAGAGCAGAAGTGATGTTAAAGAGGAAGAAGAAGTAGATGAAGACATGGCTGAAAGCAGACATTAGCCAAATTCTTCCTCTAAGGAGAAATGAGGGGTGAGAGACCTTTCATCCCTGTTATTGACTTGTCTCCAGTTCCCCAGGTACCAGACTGCAGGGGGGTGTGGGGCAGGCTCTAGGGAGATTCTCGCCTGCTGCCCAGCTCGACACTCTGCAGTAGTAGTTGATTTGTCATTGCTGTTGGAATTCATTTGTTTTGTTTTGTTTTTTGAGATGGAGTCTCACTGTTGTCCAGGCTGGAGTGCAGTGGTGCAATCTCGGCTTACTGCAACCTCTGCCTCCTGGGTTCAAGAGATTCTCCTGCCTCAGCCTCCTGAGTAGCTGGGACTATAGGTGCGCACCACCATGCCCAGCTAATTTTTGTATTTTTAGTAGAGACCGGGTTTCACCATGTTGAGCAGGATGGTCTCAATCTCTTGATCTCATGATCCGCCCACCTTGGCCTCCCAAAGTGCTGATATTACAGGCATGAGCCACCGTGCCTGGCCCGGGATTCATTTTTAAATCATGCAACACAGGACTGATTCCTGAAACTGCATCCCTCTGCCTTTGCATGGCCATGTCCTCTCGAAGAAGACCTGTGGACTGCGAGTGGCCAAGGGTGTCCCTTTGGAGCCCAATAGATGGGGCTGAATGCCACTTCTGCTGGTTGCCAGCTGTGTGACCGTGGCCATTTCTGGATCTAGGCCTTAGATCCCTCACCTGTCAAATGAGGCCAGAGCTGGCCACTTTTCAGGGCAGTTGAAGGAATGAAGGAGATAAAAGATGCAAAGGAGCTCAGTATGGCGCTGGGGACGTGCAAGCATCCCAACAGGTGACATTTGCCATTCTTAGGTAATCACTATCATAAGAGTGCATGCATTTAAGAACCCACAAGCAAGATGTGGAGGCTCTGCTGGGGCTGGGGCAAAGGATGCCTGCCCAGGACACCAGGACAGAGGTCCCTACCCTCACAGGTGACCCGTGGGAAGTGACGGAGAGGAGGTGTGTGTCAAAGCCCTAAGGGTGCCTGCAGCCCAGCCTGCCAGAATGCGGGACATTGCCCACTTTTGCAATGGCATCTTCAAGTGGGGGCCTCCTTGACACATGGGCAGTCCCCACTTCTGGTCGCCTCTCCCGCCTTTGACTAATGGCTGACCTGACATCTTTCAGCAAGTGACCTTGTTGCAGCTGGTAATTCAAATATCTTTCAGTGTCAGAAATAATAAGCACCACCGTGAGATGAACAAGCAGAGCTTAAGTTGAGCGCAGATTAATGGGGTTTTAATATTCCTAATTTAATCACTCCTTTCTGTCGCACTGTGGGCAACATGATGTAGCAGCTAATTATTTTTTTAAACCATGATGGGGATCTTTCCTAATCAATTTTATATTTAACATGAATGAAGGGAGGGCAGTGATTAATGGGAGAATAAATCTCACCAAACAGGGACAAGCAAGCGATCAGTTAAAAATATGGCAGCATGACTTTCCCTTTCCCTGTAGTAAATTCTTCAGGGATGGGATGGGGCACAATTTTAAGTCTCTTTCAATCTAAAAAGGGGAAATAAGTTGAAGATTTAAAAACCATTTTGGCTGAAAAGTCATAAACACACATTTTCATTGATGTAAAACAGTATAGACTAGTAAGTATGGTAGCATTCCATACATTTTACATTATGTTCTAATATTATGGCATTTCATACCTGCTACAGTGTATCCCAGTAAGTATGTGTTGTTTCATATCTGCTACAATGTATACCAGTAAGGATGTGGCATTTCATACCTGCTACAATGTATACTAAGGAGTATTATGGCCTTCTATAGTTGCTACATTATTATTATTATTGTTATTATTTGTACACGAGTCTCTGTTGCTCAGGCTGGAGTACAGTGGCATGATCTCAGCTCGCTGCAACATCCTACTCCAAGGTTCAAGTGATTCTCGGGCCTCAGCCTCCTTGAGTAGCTGGGACTACAGGCAGGTGCCACCACGCCCCTCTAATTTTTGTATTTTTAGTAGAGACAGGGTTTCACCACATTGGCCAGGCTGATCTCGAACTCCTGACCTCAAGTGATCCGCCTGCCTCAGCCTCCCAAAGTGCTGGGATTACAAGCCTAAGCTACCTGCCCTGCCTAGCTGCTACATTATATACCAGTAAGCATAGTGGCATTTCATAGCTGCTGCCATTTAAAGGGAGCATGCTGAGGGGTGAAAGACACTGACTTTCATGTCAGGAAAACATGTATATTCAAATGCTGGTGCTGCCCTTTATCGTGTGACCTTGGGCCTCAGTTTTCTTATCTTTTAAGTAGGTGTAACGATGCCCCTTGGAGCATTGTGAGGGCTCAGTGTGTGGTGCACACAGCATAGTGCCTGGCATGTATGTGCTGCCAAATCCAACTTTAATTCTCACAACACTAGAAAGTGTGTCTTAGGCTGAGGTCCCCAGGAGCAGACCCTGGGAGGAGGATCTGCATGAAAGGGGTTTGTTAGATGTTCCCTGGAAAGCTGCACAATGGAACAGGAACTCAGAAAGAACAGGAGGAGGAGGCTATGCAGGGGAGGATCAGGCCAGGCACAGGCAAATTTTGGAGATGATGATGATCACACCCAACAGATGTCCCAATCAGGGACCCAGGAACCAAGAATGTAGAACTCAGCCTGTCAGTCACAGGCAAGGGAGACATAAATTCCTATGTATTTCCAGTCCTCCTGCCACGTGGCTTCTAGCTTTCTGGGAACAATGCTCCCAGCAAGAGACCCAGGCACTGTCTATGGAGTGAGAACAAAAATGGGGAGGGGGCCCGTGGAGATACCAGCAGAGGTGGACAGTGCCTGCCCAGGAGGCTGGTCAGCTGCTCCGGGTCACACAAAGAAGGTGTGAGCTGGCATAGACCCCGGGTCAGGTCAGGAGGTGGCTGGTTAAGATGTGAACTTGCACCCAAGGAGCTATGGGTCCCCAAAGACCTGGAGCAGACTCCGCACTCTAATATCCCCACCCCGTGGGGAAGCCCTTGGGGCAGGCTGCAGGACCCCTCAGGACAAAGGCTCCTCACTTTAGCCTTTCTCATAACAAGAAGAGTTGAGCATCTTTGCCAAGTTTTCATTCACTCATTCATTCATTCATTCATTCATTCATTCATTCATTCATTCATTCATTCATTCATGTATTCACCCATTATTCATCCGTAGTCATCCAACCTTTGTTTAGTGAGCGCCTCCTGCTGTAGGCATGAGGCATAACAGTCAACAAGAATTTTAAAAAATTAATTCCTGCTCTCACAGAGCTGACATTCTAGAGGGAAGGGATAAGCAACAAGAACGACAAAACACAGAGATGGCATGCCTCTTAGAAGGTGTCAGTTTCCATGCAGAAAACAAAGCAGAAAAAGCAGAGGGGCAGGGCTGGGAGGAGTGCATTGTCCAATGGGTTTCCAGCAGAGCCTCACCAAGGAGCTGCCAGCACAGACCTGAAGGGACCTCATTGAGTCTTGTGGCTTTGAATACCACATAGATGCCGACAACTCCCAAACTGCATATCTCCAGCATGTTCTCTCTTCAACTCCAGCTGGCAATTCAAATATGTTTGAATTCAAGGACATCTTCAAGAAGAGGTTCCAGGCAGCATCTTGAAGAAGAGTGTTCCAGGCAGCAGGAATAGCAGGTGCACAGGCTAAGAGGTGGGAGCCCGCCTGGTCTGCAGGAAGATAGCAGGGAGCTGGAGCACCAGCCGTGGAGAGGTGAGCTGAGGCCAGAGCAGCCGAGGGGGCTGCAGGCTTCGTGAACAGCAAGCCTGGATGAGGCCTTGGGTCATGGTGAGGACTGTGGCTTACTCTCCAAGTGGTTAAGGCTGGAGAGTGACATCTGATTTGCATGTTAAAATGATAGCTGTGATGGTGGAGAACAGTCTATGGGGGGATGGGGACTAGGGAGGTGCAAGAGACTTGGGGGAGGTGAAAGGTGATGGTGGCTGCCCCAGAGTGTCGGAGGTAGCAGGGGCAGGAGCGACTGGACACTGGGCACTTTCCAAGGTGGAGCTGGCAGCATGTGCTGGCAGGAGGAAGAGGGGTACAAGAGTCTCGGAGGAGTCAAGGGCGAGTCCAAACAGTTGGAGGGTGGGAGCTGCTGTCAACTGAGATGGGAAGATTTGGGATGTGGAGTAGTGGGAAGCTAAGAGTTTGGGTATATCAGGCTCCTTCAACGTCTGTCTGAGTGAAGGGGCTGAGGACACAGTGGGATGTGTAAGTCTGGAATTCAGAGGAAAGAACATGCTGGGGATATGCAGTTTAGGAGTTGTTGGCATCTATGTGGTATTCAAAGCCACAAGACTCAATGAAGTACCAGGGAGAGTGAAGGTGGGATACAGAAAAGAAGTCGTCCAAGCCTCAGGTGGCTCGTGGGGTCAGAGTGTGAGGGAGATCAGACACTGGCCCCACAGGTGGGACAGGAGGGAGGGAGATTGGACACTGGCCCCACAGGTGGGACAGGAGGGAGGGAGATTGGACACTGGCCCCACGGGTGGGACGGGAGGGAGGGAGATTGGACACTGGCCCCACGGGTGGGACGGAGGGGAGGGGGGGGGGAGGGAGATGGACACTGGCCCCACGGGTGGGACGGGAGGGAGGGAGATCGGACACTGGCCCGGGTGGGACAGGAGGGAGGGAGATCGGACACTGGCCCCACGGGTGGGACGGGAGGGAGGGAGATCGGACACTGGCCCCACGGGTGGGACGGGAGGGAGGGAGATAGACACTGGCCCCACGGGTGGCGGGAGGGGGGGGGGGGGGGGCGGGAGGGGGAGATGGACACTGGCCCCGGGTGGGACGGGAGGGAGGGAGATCGGACACTGGCCCACGGGTGGGACGGGAGGGAGGGAGATGGACACTGGCCCACGGGTGGGACGGGAGGGAGGGAGATAGGACACTGGCCCCACGGGTGGGACGGGAGGGAGGGAGATCGGACACTGGCCCCACGGGTGGGACGGGAGGGAGGGAGATCGGACACTGGCCCCACGGGTGGGACGGGAGGGAGGGAGATCGGACACTGGCCCCACGGGGGACGGGAGGGAGGGAGATAGGACACTGGCCCCACGGGTGGGACGGGAGGGAGGGAGATCGGACACTGGCCCCACGGTGGGACGGGAGGGAGGGAGATTGGACACTGGCCCCGTGGGGGACGGGAGGGAGGGAGATCGGACACTGGCCCCACGGGTGGGACGGGAGGGAGGGAGATAGGACACTGGCCCACGGTGGGACGGGAGGAGGGAGATCGGACACTGGCCCGTGGGTGGGACGGAGGGAGGGAGATGGACACTGGCCCACGGGTGGGATGGGAGGGAGGGAGATCGGACACTGGCCCCACGGGTGGGACGGGAGGGAGGGAGATCGGACACTGGTGCCATGGGTGGGACAGGAGGGAGGGAGATCGGACACTGGCCCCACGGGTGGGACGGGAGGGAGGGAGATCGGACACTGGCCCCACGGGTGGGACGGGAGGGAGGGAGATCGGACACTGGTGCCATGGGTGGGACGGGAAGGAGGGAGATCAGACACTGGTACCACGGGTGGAATGTGAGGGAGATCAGATGCTGGCCTCACAGGTGGAATGGAAGGGAGGGAGATTGGACACTGGCCCCACGGGTGGGACGGGAGGGAGGGAGATCGGACACCGGCCCCACGGGGAGGTGGATGCTGGGGTGGGAACTCACCAGGGCCCCTCTACTGTCTTTGAACTGGTTCTCTCCCAGGGTTCAGACAACATCCTTGACCTTCCCCTGATCTGGTAGGGACTGCAAGAGGATTAAGGACTGTGGGCAGGTCAGATATTGCGAAGGAGAGAGTTCCTGGTGGATTTAATTCTGTGAGAAACGTGGCAGCAGCCTTGCAGTCAGACCCTGGGTCCTGTTCTTCTCCACTGTGAAGCTGGAGCCTCCATAGGAGGGAAAGAAGTTGGAGGGGGGTGAGGAAGGAAGAGGGGCCATGTTGTGAAGCGTAAAAGTAAACAATAAGGCTGTCACCACTGGGGTGCTGTCAGTGCTTGGGCCACACCCCCTCAGCAAGTGACAAGGATAAACATTTGCACAGTGCTTAACAGGTTTAAAAAATATATAAGCTTTTCACGCTGATAAAAGATAAACTTCAGCCGAATTAAATTTAAAGCAGTTGAATTGAGCAATGAACGATTCGTGAATCAGGCAGCCTCCCGAGCCAGAGTGGCCTCAGAGACTCCAGGGCAGCCACGTGGTAGAAGATTTATGGACAGAAAGAGGAAATCGACTACAGAAAGCAAAAGTGAGGTACAGAAACAGCTGGGTTGGTTACAGGTTGGTGTTTGCCTTATTTGAACACGGTTCAAATGGTCAGTCCCCTTTGAATTGGCCAAAACTCAGTGACTGGCACCAGTGCAGGCCACAGTCTGTTGATGTCTCCACTTGTCATATCAATAGTTCACCACGTACAGAGAAACCTTTAGGCCAAATTTAAAATATGTCAGGAGGCAGCTTCAGGCTAAACTTGATTTAACAACATGCCTTTAGCTTTCTGAACTCAATATTATTTCAACAGCTCTTCCCCAAGCTTAGGATGGGACCTGAGTTTCGGGGATGTGGTTTGCCCAAGGATGGACACCAGAGGGTGGCTGAGCCTGGCAGGTAGCCCGATCTGTGCCCCAGAGTGCGTGGCACCAGGGAGAGGATACAGCCCTCAGTGTTTCTGCACTCTGAGCTGATTGTTTTCCCATTTGACCCTAGAAGTTGGATATAAACATTGTCTTGTGTTTAATTTCCTTTGTTTGGGGAGGTCATGAAAAGGCCCCAACAGGATTCTATTAAAGTTTTTCTCCCAAGTGAGTATCTAAGGCCAAGTTATAAAGCGTTGCAGGGGGAAAGCGAACATTTGCCTTGAAACCTCTTCCCTTGCCTCGTAGAAAACCAGGAGGGAAAGAGCACTGAGCAGAGAAGAAGCATTGTTTCCTTCCTTTGTCCATGTCCTCTGGGCCCCCAGTCCACGTGACTGTTCGGCCTGGGCGCCTGCCCCATCCTCCCTCCACCGAAAAGGGAGCTTCCAGTGCGTTAGGGGGGGCAGCACTTAAGGGTTCTGTTGTTTTCTTTCCACAGGCTTGGGGTTCACAAACTCAAAAGGGATTTTTCCCTGAGCATTTGTCTCCCTTGGTTTTTTAAGCCATTTCGGTTTCAAGGAAATTGAATCCATGTGTGTTTGGATTAATTGCTTAACTCCTAAAAACGTTGTTTTGTAATAGCAATTTGATGTCCAAAAACCTTGTTAAGTTACTTTCCATCCTTTTCCTGTGATCCCAATCGGGAGAAATGAGAGATCCCTCTTGCACCAGCCCCATGCTTACAGCTGGAAAGGGCTAACGAGGAATTAGCATGATGTTCAATTTGCCTGCAGATAAGGCGGGCTTGCAAACCTCACTCTGAAATCCAGGAAGCCTCTTGGGTCCTGCTGGGTTTCTGGGCTTTAGAGAACGTGGACACCTTCTGTGGTCGCGTTTTCAATTTGAGATTTCCTTTTCCCCGGGTCTCGATTTCAGAGCTTGACTGTTCCTCTGGTGGTTCAAATCGCAGTGGAGGAGATGTCAGCCCCCTGAAAGGATGCACATCTCAGCAGTCAGGGATCTTGAGGTCCAGGAGGTGCTGCTGAGGGAAGGAAGGTTCGTGTGCTCTGCTCTAGAAATTGTTCTGATGTTCAGGCGTGGTGACTGATGGGATGGTCCCATATCATGGGTCAAAGAGGAAGAGTGCACCTTCTTGAATGGCCAGGTCCATCGGGAGGCTCGGAGGTTAATGCCGTCCGGAAGAGAGTAGTGCTCTTAGGCTGGGTATTCACCCCTAGACCTCAGTTTTCCCAACTGTTAAACAGGAATAACCCCTGACCTCAGAGCTGTTCCAAGAGCAGTTTCCTGGTGCCCCTAGACTTCATGTGAGTGGGCGTCTGCATTGACCCCAGTGGATGCTGAGGGTTTGCTCAAGCGGACCCTTTCCTCCTGGGGCCTTCCATTACCTTCCTTCTGCCTGATCTCATTCGTCTGCACCCCACCTGGCCTCTGATCCTCCGCTGATGACTTCAGTCGGAAGGTGGTCTTCTGCTTCCCTAGCGACCATCACAGACCACACAGATTAGCAAGCATGGCAGTGTTTCCAGAAGGAGGGCGGCCACCCATTCTCCATATTCCTACCCCCTGCAGCACTCGGCAGAGGGCCAGGCACAGCAGCACCTGTTCACTAAGTTCCCCCTTGATTGCTAAACCGCTCAGGGGTGTAGAAGGGTGTGGCTGTGGGTGTGGTGGTGATGTTGGTGTTCCCACAGGTTCTGCATTCAGACCCTCAGAACGCAAATGAACCCGCCTAACCACTTGGCAGAAGTTGGCTGGTTCCAAGGTCCATCATTATCTCATCTTCCTCTCAGCAACTTGACCAGGACTGTAGGACAGATCTCTACATATGTGTAGAGGCTCACATATGTGACTTCATTGGCTGACAGGCACAAAGCAAGGTGTCTATATCCCAAAAAGCAGGGTGTCTCTACCCAGCTTCTGTGCTCCTTTATGGCATAAATGGCATGATCAAACGGTTATCCACCATAGTATCTGCAATGCAGCTCTGACACTAACCACCTGGAGTTGGTGCAGATGACGGGTTGGGGGCTCCGTCCCCCACAGGAAGACCCTCACTTTAGATATCTGCTACAAGTTCTGGCCCCCCCTGGATACATGCACCTCTGACCAACTGGCTGCAAATTCAGGGGTTTCCCTGACCTCCTGGCATTCAGTAATTCACAGTGATGAACGACACAACTCAGGAAAGTGCCGTACTTAGGATTGCGGTGTCATTACCAAGGATACAATCAGAACCAGCTACTGGGAGAGGCGTGGAGGGGGAGGTCTGGGAAAGTCCCAGATTCAGAACTTCCATGTCCCCAGACCGTGCAAAGCCTCCCAGATGACTGATGTGTGATTACAAACCAGGGATAGTCATCCAAGCTTCCAATGCTCAGAGGTTTCATGATGTAGGCGTGACTGATAGGACTTGATCTCCAGTCCCTTTCTCCAGGAGGTGATGGAGCAGGGCCTCAGCCTGCTGTTCACATGGTCAGTCTTTCTGGCATGGGCTGTCCTGACCCTGAGTCCCCTCGTTAGCAAAGACTTTGAGGGCTCGCTGTGAATAACGAAGACTTGCCAAGGATTTGGAGGTGACTTCCCAGGAACAAAGGCCGGTCCAATTCTGTATTATACAACAATTTGCTGGTGCTATCCAATGACATGCTCTCACCAGCCCTTGCCATGGGATGCTGACTCCATGCCTCTTACAAAGGATTCTCCCTGACCCAGCTGATGGAAGCTGTGTCCTAAGTGCTTTGCAGAGACGACAGCAGAAACCGTCCAGAAAGGCCCCTTCAATGGCCAAGTGAGTGCTTTGTTCTGAAGGAAGTTAGAGCCCAAGTTCATACAACTATCATGAAATCTTCGAAACATTTCATTTTTTAAGTCATGAGATTCCCCTGAGCCCTCCCTGT